ACACACACACACACACACACACACACACACACACACACACACACACAACCTAATGGGCCTTCACAACATCACCTAGAAAACCAATCTGATGGTCCTAGAGAAAGAAATGGGAGAGCGGGGTGATCTACGCAGCGGTTGGATGTTTTTTGACAGCCGCTGCTGGGATGAGAAACCAAATTCTAGTTGGATGCTTTAGAGAAGAGTAGGTGACGGCAAGGCGAAAGTGGGTGAGTTTTTCGGTTGCATGTTCAACCAGTGGATCAGGCAGGCGAGTAGGCAGGCAGGCAACATGCAGTGCAGTCATGGCTTAGTTGGATTGAGGACTTATAGGGGCGGAGTGAGTGAGGAGAGAAGGGAGCAAAGGAGGTGTCATTAAAAGGCATTCCGGTCTGAGACGAGGTGGTGTTGCTGGTGGCGTTGCTGGTGGCGTAGATACTCACTCATACTGCTCCGGACACATGCTGATGAGGGTGACAGGACTGTAAGAGAATTGGAGGGAGGGAGGGAAGGGAAGGAGGGGAGGGGGAGTTTAGGTACCACAAAACATTTCAGGGGCCAAAACACAGCAGGTTGTGGAAGAAGTGGAAGGAAATGTCTGTCCAACATCCGAGTGGCTGGACTCCACACGGAGCGAAAGGCATGTCAAACAAACAGTCACCAATGTATTATATACACCACATGTGGTTATGATTATCCCCTCTGACATTCTCTGACACCTGCATCAAAGTAGACTTGTGACACAGGAAATGTGTCGATTGATCTGTCAGTTTTGAAAGGGTAAAGATGGGCATGCGGACCTGTCGGCACACGGTAAATTACTCAGGCTGTGTGTATGAAAGCTCGCACGGGAAAAGATTGATCGTGTCAGTTGGCTTTGCCGCAGTCACATATATTTCATTTAAATGTGTTTTTCAAAATGCCTGCTGCATACAGGATGATATGGCCCAAAATTCGCTCCCCTTTCTCATTTATTTCCAGCAGGATTTACTGAAATAACATGTCAGCAGAAAACATACAGAACCTATTTTGGAGTTAATTTGCATCAGTATATTATTTTATAAAAAGATGTGTTGGCTGCATAAGAGCTCAGTAAATGCTGTTAATTAGAGATTTTGGAAACAAAAATGTGACAAACCCAGACGCTAGAGGCATGTGTCTTGAAGTCTTTTCAAGGTTCCTAGTCCATGATAATTGCAGCTATTCTTAGAGACGCAGATAATAACTTTATTATTTGTAAGCAAATGGGACACTTTTATCTCAAGAACACAAAGAAATGGATCTTTTTCCACAGAGGAGGCTTGATAGAAATTGGTAAGATAAGGTTGAGGTTGACATTCTTTTGCCTCACGCTTTTTTGTTCCCACATTAAAGCAGGGAAATTTAGATGGAGACTTCTGCCTTGGTGGTTATGTTTCTCACAGCGGGTCGGCCAGTGTAGTCACACTTCTGTAGCTGCGAGGCAAGTTTGAAATGTAGCAGGGGATTCAGACGGAAAGAGAGAAAAACTGGAAAAAAAACAAAAACGGATCGGGGTCGGCAGGGCAGACTGAGCTAACTATTCAGAGCCTGTGGTGCGGCATTTATACGCGCCCCCACCATCATTCATCGCTAGAGGGAAAAGTCAATCTGCTCATTTTGTTTTTCAGGAGAGGGATTTCAGTTTTCATCTTTGCAAAAAATTGATAGCTTTTGTAGAGTGTAGATGGTTTTCCTTTCACCCAAATGTGTCTGACACGCATTCAAAACGACACAACCTTCAGATGGATACTCGTGAAAAGACAGTTGTACTGAAGGCAGAAACACAAGCTACTGTAACAGAGAGGGAGGAGGAACTGGAAATGAGTGAAGGAAAGGTGACTGAAGGAAAGAGACGGAGGGGAGAAATCATGCCAGCAGAGACCTTGGGAGTATTTGGGGCCTGATAAATGTGGCTGCTGTAAAGGCTGGGTTTTTATGAAAGGTTTGTTGTGCCTGTTGAAGTACAATAAGAGGGAGCAGAGCAGAGCCCGGTTCACTTCTCTCTTCCACTGGTATCGTGTGAAAAGTCTGACCAGCTAAAGGTCTCATTCACTTATGTAGATCATATAGAGGCATTCAAATGAAATTGAGACGGTTTCATAACCAGTTAAAAGTCCCTCACGGTCACTTTAAGAAAACGTATTTGTACAAATGGTGCTGTCTGTGTTATACTTGTCTTTTCAGAATTGATGATGGTTTCTAAAAAGTTAGTTAATTGTGCCGTGCTAGTCGCTCTGTCACAGTTAGCACTGCTTCCCTCTTTTCTACTTTTTCTGTGTCATGGATAAAAGACAATGAGCGCTGTTGACACCTCTACCCGTCTGTCAGAAAGACGGTTAGAGGGCTGACAAGAGAACGTGTGTTTAATGTGGAGCCGGCACACGTAGATGCTGTGTCCCACCATAACTACCACAACGCACAACTCCATCATCGGCAGATAGTTTGGAAATAAAAAGGTTGTGCTTTACCCTTAAACTAATTTGCTTGGGCGAGCTTATCTACATGTAATAAACATGCTTAAATAAAAACATTTCCCTAGTGTAATACAACAGAAAATGATTTTGTTTAGACTGGATTCTGAAAAAAAATAATTTCAAATCCCCATTCAACTCCATTAGCCCCAATGCAGCAGAGGCTCATCTACTTGATCTGGTTATGTAGATTAACAAACAACAGTCAACACTGAGTGGGAAACTATTAGAGCGGTTCTTTCACATTATCAAACATAGCTGTGACGAATCACAATCCCATCTGCCCTGAAAAGAAGCAAAGGTATAAGTGGGAGGTGAGAGTGTAGCTGGTGTTTTGCTCTCTCCAGGTGGAACGAAACAGAGAGGGTGGAATTAAACAAGAGAAATGATACCAAAGTGAAAAAGAAAAAGACAGCGAGTGAGTGCATCTCATTTTCTCTTCTGCTGCCACAGTATTAAAAAAAAAATCTCCTTTTTAGAAGTTCACTTTGTTCAGACTAATAGAGCCTGACAACGCACTAAAATTGTTTTCTTATAACATTGTTCAAAATTGTACACAGCAAGAGAAACTGGAAAAGTCTACTTCAAATCTTTAGTTGTGATACTTAGGATGACGCTAGTAGTACGTTTTCTTTAAATTGACTGATTTATCAGATTTGTATTAGACACAAATAAAGAAATAAAAAATAAAGAAATATTTTCATTTCAACAAACATGAAAGCAAATGTTATTTATGTTTAACCAATCTGTATACTTCCTGAATTCTAAGCAGGGACCCTGTTCCAATTACAGAAATACCCATATCAATTTAGGTCACATATTAATTTTAGTGACATGGAGATGGCAAAAGCCAATGAAGTGGGATAATACAAGTCTAAAATGAATGCTGAGCATTTCTTAACACTGATCCTATGTTGGAGCCACATCTTATAGACAGTCCAATAGCAAAGAAATAGCACATCCAGGCTTATTTCAACACATAGAGCTGTTCATTGTGCACTCAAGCCTGTGGCTACATGTGGAAAGCGCACAGTTCACAGGAGAGAGATAATCCAGAAAGAGAGATGGGAAAATGATGACCATGATGAAATGGTCCTAAATTTCTTAAGTCTCCATTCCCTTCTGCCGTATTTGGAAAAGATCCTTGCGTTTCGCCACAATTCCTCAACCTTTTAGAGCCATTTATCAAGTAGGCATCTCTGCAGGAGTCATTTTTCAGAGAGGAAGGGAAGTGAGAATAGAGCAAGGTGGGAGGTGAGGGGGAGGACGGGCAAGGATGGGAGGCATGAAGGAGGGAGTGCAATCCATCTGAGAAGTGACTGTGTGCAACTGGATGTCGAGGAAAATCCATCTCGACTGAAGAGGTGAGTCACTGTGAATAAACATCTTTCAAGACTTTTTGGTGCTAACAAGATGCAAAACTACATTGTTGAAAAGTATGAGAGCCCGAGTGGGAAATGTGTGACAGGCAGAGAAAAAGGAAAAACAATAAATAGATTGATGGATAAAATGTAGAAAAAAAACACCAAAACATGTAGAACAGAGTCTCGGAGCAGCTGGGCTGGTATTCGAAAGGGCCACAACTCAGAAAAACACTCCGATGTGGAGGATGAGGAGCCCACCTGAGGCGTCTGCATAATGTGGGCCGAGTTAAATGTCTCTCCGGGGGGATTTAAGGCTGGCAGGAGCAGGGACATGAATCAGACGCAGTCACTGGAGCAGGTGCTGCAGAAAGAAGATCTACAGTGTAGCGGCGGCACCTAGTAATGACTGGACCGACAGGTAAATAAACACATAAACTGAGTGGTGAATTAACACTGCCCACATACTGTAGCACAGGTGTGTGTGTGTGTGTGTGTGTGTCAGGCATGAGACTTCTCATAACCTGTGACCTGAAGGAACTAACGGTTCCAAATTCACGACTGGTCACTGAAGGTGACTGGGACTTTGCTGTCTGGACCCCTTAGCTGTGGAACTCCCTTCCTGGTAATGTAAGGCAGGCAGATTTGCTTTCATGTTTTATTATGAAGCATTTTGTAACTTTATTTTGAAAGGTTCTATTTAAATAAAGTAATTATTTGGCAAGAAGATGCACCTTTACCAATTTTACACATCAAAGTCAGTCATGGAGGTCACTTGTCTTATCAAGTTGAAGGATCCAGGAGAGTCCATTTTTTTTAAAGGATTTGATTTAAATCCGTCTTGTAGCTAAAACCCGCCACATGTTCATTTTCACTCAGAAGCATGTCACATAACAGAAGCCAAAGACAACTCCCCTTTTGAACGGCATTGTGATGCATGATAGAAACAAACAGAGAGGATTCTGTTTCAGTCAATCTGTAAATGTCACATAATCACATTGGAGTGTTACTTACGTTTCCATGTTGTCGCCCTCTAGAACTGTCTGGACCGGTAGGTAACCGAGCCGAGGATGTTTGGCAAAGTACTTCTTCGATCGGAATTTGTTCTTCAGCACTTTGGTGAAATCACGCATGTCCTCACCTGATGTCGTCTGCAGTACGAGAGAGAGAAAGTTTATGCTATTTATTGCATGCATTTCCACAGTCTCTTATGCACACATCAGCAGCATATGCATTTGTGTGGAAGAGAATGGGTTGTGTTAATTAGATACTTAGCAAAGGTGTTCCTCCTGCAGAAGCAGTTTCTGCCTTGCAAGCAAACAACAAATTACCACAACAGTGTGACCGGAGGGGGAGAAAATCCCCTCGCAGAGGATTCAGACAACCACCGCTTAACACAAACACACACACGCAAATGCACAACTCCCACACTTGACAGATGGGGAGTAAATGAACAGGCTCTATTGAGTTCATTGGGCTTATTAACTAATCCAAGCAACTTAAGATGGTAGCTTGAGCAAACCAACAGACATTACTGAACAATTAAGCTAAAGCTGGAAAAATAATTTGTGAAAGTTTATATGTGTGTGTGTGCTTTTCTCCTTCCCGTCTGGTTTAGCAGGCTTTTTCTGTTTAAGATTGAGTTTTTTTGCCTTTTTCAGTGTGACAATGTGGATATAGACAGGAAACAATGAGGGGAGAGAGAGGAAATGAGGGGGGGGGGGGGTGTGAAACAAAGGTCCACAGCTGGAATCTAGTCTGAGATGTTGAATTTGCAGTGTGTGCATCATAACCACAAGGCAACCGGGACGCTCTCTGACGGATTGTGACACCGCCACAGTCGAACGCAGACAGCATCTCCACTTAGGAAAGGTAAAGACATTTAAATTACAGTAATCAATACAGCACAGCACCACATCTAGCTTCTTCAGCACTGAAAATTCCCATTGGAACTATGAAAATGTCACTCCCATAAAAATGAAAACCTAATAAAAAAAAAAAAAAAAGCAATACTGTGGCCATAAAGTACACAGTACGAAAATAAAGAGAGAAGGAATCTTATTAGACTCACAAACGCTGCTATCAGTCTTTAAATCTCTGCAAAATCGGTGTTTTGAAGAATCATTATTCAATACGGACTCGATATTTTCAAAGTTTTAAAAGTGAAACACAATTTGGTTTGAGTATAGCGAGGAGTGAAAATACAATTCCATATGATGCCGATAGTTTCTCTTTGTTTCCTCTGAAAAGTAACAAACAGTTAAACTCAACTTCAAGTTTCATTTGATTTCGGCAGGCATTCTAGATTTGGGTCTTGGATACATCCAACACCTTTGAACTGCTAGATTTGGGTGGTTTCCTACTATTCTATAGTATCTTGCAGTTCAACAAAGCTCTGTTAAGTTGCAGTGTTAATTAGCAGCAAGTGTCACATGACATCAGAGCTTTTCAGCAGGATCCAAGTCAAAGCTTTTTCAAGCTTTTTCTTGCTTTTGTTCTCCAGACATTCCAGTATTGATTTCATTGTACTGTATGCTTTTAGGTCAGTTTGAGTATAAAATAGGCTGATGCACCCGTCCTAGATGTTTGGCGCTGCGAAGCAAGCTGTCCTCAATAATTTGCTTGTATTTGGCTCCAGTTGATGCTCCCTTTATCCTTGTTTGTGCTGAAAAGCCTGCGGACAGTATGCTGCTGTCACAGCCATTCTTCAATGGTGATGGCGATAAGTTGTGAGTGACTGCTTCCTGGCAGATGCAGAGCTCAACATTAAGGCTGATAAGATCTAATATTAATTTAATCACTGATAGTCTTTTGCTCTCAGACTATCAAAGAACTTTTAGCAGCTTGCGGTAAGCTGTCAAGAGCCTCCGACCACAGACTGGGTCAAGATGAAGAATTCATATAATTTGGATTAACCGTAGGGTTGATATTTATTAGTTGTAGCAATTGGGAATAAAATTAGGGCTGCACCAATGGGACTTATTCAGTCCAGATACCTGGGCTTTGAGTATCGGCCGATACAGAGTACTGATCTGATACCAGTTTTTAAATTAATAAGCTGTAATGACTCGCTGTGTGGAAGTGAATGGGATCATTCTGTGGAAGGCAACATAAGGTTTAACTTAAACATCGCTTTCCTAACATTTTAAAACAAAATGTAACAGATAAATACATAGATTCAAATGCAGTGAATTGTTATGTATTGAAATAATGTTATCCTATAGCAACCGATATTCAATCCAGCTGTCTGAGTCGGTATCGGATCAATATCTGAGATCAGTATTGGTGCATCTCTGAATGACAAACTTTCCTTTTATGGGAATCCACTCTGATTTTAAGAAGTGACATTACAGAATGATAAATGGTAAAAGGACTTTTATTGATATAGTGCCTTTCTACTCTTCCAAACACTCAAAGCGTCTTACATTAACATGTCAACATTTACCCATTCATCGACATGAATGAACGCAGCCGGGCATCGAACCATCCTTCTTCCAATTACTGGACTACCCGCAATCACTCCTGAGCCACAGCTGCCCAACCTGGAAGATGTTGAATCCTCTCTCAAGTCACAGTTTATTTCCTCCTTTCTGAAAAAGCAGCCGAACAGTAAACTCCTGAGTGATTAATATGCCCTGTAGTTGCGTAATAATCTTTAACCACCATTTAAAGTGTTTGTTGTTCCAGCACAGATAAAGTTTTTTTCAAAGCAGTGGCAGGCAGCTGCTGGGCATCTTAACTTAGGGAAGAGTGATCACTACTCCCTACAGCTACTCTCCCGGAGTCAATATCTATCCCATTTGCAAAATTGAAAAAGCAAATTAAAAGACAGAAATGAGAAACGTCTCCACTTGAGTCACTCAAAGTTTGACGTTAAGCAATATTGAAACGAGTTGGCCCACAAGTGCGCGATCCTAATTCGGAAAGAGGGCAATGTTCAATTTCGCCAAGCTGCCCCTTTTCTAATATTCTTCTCTCTGCGTAGTAGTAAAGTGAAATATTGCTTTCTGGCAGGAATCATAAAAAGACCTCAGAGAGCCACAAGCATTTTACCATTTGTTCGTGAAAATTAAAATGAAGCCAGAGGTCTGTCCGGAGGGTTGATTGTTGAACAAGTTGGAGAAATCAATTGCATGGGAAGTAGGACGTAGAGGCAAGTGGCGGGAGTGATTAATCACAGTGAGGGGATACAAATCTGTTCTACTTCTACTCTACATTTCATACTGTATATGAAACACCTTCACAACAACAACAGCACTATGAGGCCAAGTGGTTTTCTGAGACTTGACTCAACCCCATTTGATCTCAGAGAACGATGAACTTGATTGGCCGACGCACTACTTTGCCGAATGACTTTGCATTGCGACAAAAGTTGAGCGAGGTGAAACTCTTGTGCAGGAAGACCAGAGAATGAGATGTTCACCAATCACAAGTGGGTGAAAAATTCAGCTGTCCACGTACTTTAAGAACAACTAATTCATAGAATCGCTAAATATTTGTAATCTTTAAAATGGATAAGTGAAGAGTGTGAGCGAGTGGAAATGAGATGCTGTGTGAGATGAGCTGCTGAACAACGTGTGCGTCTTGGTCCGTGTTACTCCCTCACCGGTGTGCAGTACTCCACCATGGGGTAGTTGAGCTTGTGGCCCTTGGCGGTGCGCCCAGAAAAGAAGCAGCTCTGACACACGTCGTAGTTGAAATGCTTCAGACTGCGATACCTATAGAAATAAAGAGAGAGAGAGAGAGAGAGAGAGAGAGAGAGAGAGAGAGAGAGAGA